ATTGCACATCTTTTTGACTATATGGAGGTTCAATTCCGCGGTGAATATCTTTCCAAATATCCAGTATTCAGTATCCTAGGGCGAGATGGCTCAGTGGTTAGAGTGCGAATTTAATGACCAGAAGGTTCGTGGTTCGAACCCGACCTGTATCTCGGCCTCCCTTGTCTAGGCTTAGGCAACCTGGCAGCATCCCAGACCTCGTGTTTCCCGCTGTTGGCATGGCACCTAGACACCAAAAGTGTTACAGCCAAACCATTTTTCTTGATTTTTTCATTCTAGACTACAGCACAAAGTAGAATCTGTCGTTTTATTTTAGACCACATAACGCTCGTAAGGATTTACGGATTTTTAACTCCTTGAGCTATTTGTCGCAGCTGCCGAAGTCAATGTGAATACTTATATCTTACTGCAGAAGAATATATGACAACCTTGATGAGCTGATAACTGTCTATTAACCCAAATCAGAACTAAAATGCAGTTCCTATCAGTTAATTCTGTCAAGGTGAACGGCCCTACTAAAGTCACATTTATGTATCTCCTGAAGGATAAGGTATCAGGAAAACAACTCAAATCCAAGTGACCGTATTTCCTATCGGGTTATCAGGTTGAGAAATCAGTCGACCAGTGGTTTTTGCTAACAACAACCATCAGAGGTTTCGTCGAAGAAACAAGACGTGCCTCAGTTCCATCCCATTCCATCCACATAAGTCGCCACGATGCACAACATACTCATTGACTTTTTCCTAAAAACAGTCTTAATTGTCTTTCAACATCTCTGTCTGAGAGAAGAAGTGTACTGAACTTTTTTGAACACGAGAGCGACACACTCACTTTTTTCGTTAAGTATTTATAAGGAGTTATCATGGCAACCGCATCCAACAGCTGAAGCAGAACAACGTTCGTGTTCTGCCACCAAGTGTTTCCGACTGAATATGAGAATATTTTGTGCGCGATTAGCCCAGTTATTCAAAGTAATTGGAATTTCCCCCAAATCTAATCCACAACCTACACACATTTGTATATCAGGTATTCGTAGTCTATAACCAGTCGGGAATTTCGTTTTCCACTGTCTTTAACATGAGCCGGTCGAAACTTTTGTTCCATAAAAATTCGCATATTTCAAGAACTCTTTGTAAAATCTTGATACTTTTCCGCCTATTTTTTCTAGTCCCTCATTCCTAAACCGCACCAATATAACCAACTGCCGTTGGACGAAAAACGGTTTACAGAGCCTTCCGACTCAGCCACCAGAGTAACTTGATTTTCAATGTAGACAGCGTAATGGTAGACTGATTCTCACCGAATTGACTGTGTATTCTGGTGTTGGACCGCACATGTGCAGCAATTTGTGTCTCTACATTCTTAGGTGCATTTTTTTATGTCGTCAATTCTGTATGATCCCGCCCTCATCCGGTCGTGGGCTAAGTTGTTCTGGCGTATAGTTTTTGTTAATTAAGTGACGCAATTATTTGGTTCCCTATTCCTTAGGCTAATTTATTACCCTTCCGGTGACTGCCCAAATTTCAAGACTGAGCTGTTCTATTTTGTACAAAATCGACACTCTATCAACCGTTTTTCTACAGCCGATTTGTTCACATTCACTTCTAGGCTTTTGTTGAAAATTTGTCCCACTTTGAACTGAACAGCCTTTTTCCCGTTTAATTTGTCCGATAGCACACTGCCCTTCGTGTCCCATCTTGTTTTGCTAACTGCCCAAGGTTCAATCTACCCGTAAGCCTTTCTTTTATTCCCCTCATGATTTATTGTTAATTTCTTACAGAACCATGTTTACCTATCTATACAGCCTGCCCACATTCAATTCAATATATTGTTCACTGCCCAAATGCGACTACTGAAGAAACACAAGTGAGGTTTGTAGAATTCGGCTTCGCCGCAATTACTACTGACCGTCCGTCGGTGAATAAGGCTACACGTTACCTGTCAGATAGGGCACCTAGATCGTGCGTTTAGGCTAAGTAACCAATTCCTTGTTTTGAGATCATGGCCTTAGCACAGGATAGTACAGTTTCCCTTGATGGCTAGTTGTGCAATGCCATTTACGAAGCTTTCGGTGATTTTGTATGATCCGCTTGAAACTGCACACCAGTTGTCGTTTTGATAAGCCGTACGTATACGGCTTCGGTATTAACAAGTGA